TCGGCTCTTAAATAGAGCCGAAAAGTCAGGGGAGGAGCACAGCAGCCACCGGAGGGGAAGTGTCTGGCCGGCGGTATTTTTCCCGGACATGTTCGGCTTTTTTGGCAATTCCCCCCGGACGGGGGTTTGATTACCAAAAAAGCCGGACATGTCCGGGAAAAAAACGGACGTATGGTAACCCTAGGCTAAAGCCTTCCCCTGGACTGGGTCTCCAACATGGCAGCCAGCCACATGACTATATAAAACTGAATATTGGTAATCATCATTTTGTAGCTTGGTGTAAATTCTCTATAGCATTTGGGGGTTCCTAAATTGCTGTCCCTAAAAATTAGCAGTGTGTGAATTGAGATTTACATGTGAAAGGGTAGAGGGGGGTCTATAGTCTAGTTCAAACAGACATAGGCCTTGATTATGCAATGTACAGTCAGACATAGGCCCATTGGTTTAAATGGGGCTCTTCCTGAAGGCAGATGTCAGCCTGTGATTGTACATGCAGGATTGTGGCCAGTGTTTGCTCAGTTGTAGTTTGAAAGAATTTCCATCCTAGCACTTGATTCTCATTTACACTGAGGGCACATTACACTGCTCTGGCCTTACTATCAGTGTAAATGTGTACTTTATAGCTTTTACTCTGCAGAGTGGCACAAAATGGCCATAGTTTAAATTAGAATCAGGCACCTAGTGTTTTCCTCTGTGTATGAGGATAAATATCTGATACTGAAAGGAAAATTGCTCTTTATGTTTGAAAGGTATATCTTGTCTTTTCCACTAAGTTTTGGGACATTTACTTAATGTGGAAAAAAAGCTATTTGCATAATGAACCCAAGCTAAGATGTCTAATAATAATTTATAATTAACATGCACGACATTTTATTGACTTGTAGACTATGTCCCTGCCCTGAATAGCTTACACTCATTCATTATATAAATTTAACTTAAAAGGGGGTATAAAGTAGGAGCCATGTTATCTTGATCTTTGTACATTACTAATAATCAAAAGCTGCAGAATTGTCATAAGGAAAAATGGAAGATAAATTGTTTCAGCTTTTTGTGTTCTAAAGCCACACAATCACTGTAAACAAATTGTTTGGCTGGTGGCTGGTGTTCAAACCAAAGCAAAAGGTCTGTGGAGGAGAACCAACCCCAAAATAGTACATTAATCACTAGTGAGGTCCTGTAGACCCCACAAATATATTGCAGAGCTCACAAAAAAGTACTTCTGGACAGGGACATGAGCTAGTATTTTGATAGCCATGTCTTTATGTATTTGTATGGGGTTACAGTCTTATAAATTCTTACCCAAGAGTACTGTTTTTGCAAGGGAGAGTTTAATTCCACGAAGCACCACAACATTGGGAAAGCCTCTTGGCTGATTCCATAGTATCTTCCCAATACTACTGCTTTGAATCTCTATTTCTGGGAATGGCATTGCAGTTTGAGAGGGTAAGGCCCTGTGATAAAATTTATATGCAGAGTAATATGATACCCACCTATTAAGAACCTATGATTGTCAACAAGTCTCCACACATTCTGAGGGAAAGAATTAAATGCAGAGTTGTTCGTTTTTTCCTTTTGCTATGGATCAGACTGAATGTGCTTCCTAGCCAGTGTACCATAGTGCTGTTTGTTAAACTTTATTTTCTCTCTTGAGAGTCCTGCTGAACCAGATCACAGCCAGGCTAGACAGTAGCGATGTATATAAATTTTAACACTTGATTTTGTGTCCCCCCCCCTTGGTTAGTTTAAGTGAGACAGGCTGGGAGGAGGGAGAGAGAGTGGTGGGGGAGAGGAAGGAACCTTTGGAAATGTGTTATTCATGTGTATATTTCATCAAAGACTCTCAGTGAGCACAACTTCATCTACCATCTATACCTGCCTTAACTTTTCAATATTTTCTGTTCTTCTAAATAAAGGTAGTTGGCTGTTTGAAAGTGTTTTAAAGCTTCCAGTTTAAAAAAGTCCAGCTACTGAAGACACTGATTTAGCATATGCATAACTTTAAGCACTTTGAGTAGGGCCAGTGAAGTGAAATGGACTATACATGTGCTTGAAATTAGGCTTAAATGTTTTGCTTAATCAAGGTCTAACTGTAGAACTGGAGTATCTGAGTGTGAACATATGATAATGGTCACACAACTGTCATCACAGCCAGACACCAAATTGCTTTCATTTTGCCTGCATAGGCTTATTAGTATGTCATCATTAACTCACCATCGGCCTGACATCTAGTCACTGCTGATGTCTCTGGGCTGCTAATGAAATTCAGTGTTTTGCTTGCACAGAATGGGTCTTCCTTCTCTCGCCCAGTTGACCACTTAGCTTGGTACTTCATGGCTAATGCTGTAGTTTCTATAATTGACCAAACCAAACCTTCACCTCTGAACACTCTCAAGCTTTGGGAAGTTCTGATCTAGCTTCGAATTTTGTAGCTAGGCTCCTTGTTTACCTGTGAAAAGGCTTGTCGTCCTTTTTGTAAAACTGGATCATATTTTTCTTTCTAAGAATTAAAGCCGAGTAATGTTTTGCAAATAAGAATGAGAAGTAAGTACAGTCCGAGGCTCAATCAGAGGTTTTAGGCAGCTAAATTTGAAAGTTGTTGCCCTATGTTAGAGGTACTTAGGAATGATTTAAAACATGATTTTATGTATTCTTTTCTAGTAGGTATTTGTTGGAGGGTAGGGGAAACGTATTGGGGTCATTGTTTGCCTCATAAACCTGCCTCCATTCATAAGTGCCATTTTTCAGCTAGGTTGTCAGACTTGTGCATATTCATAGATTTTAAGGCCAGATCACCTAGTCTCTGACCTTTTGATACTGTCAGGACCATCCATTCTACACCCAGCATAACAGCACATACGGTGGGAACCTTGTCTCTCTTTTCCTAGTGCTGATAACTCCTGTCACCTTTTTATGCATGTGCTGGTTGCCCATCAGATTCCTGGTATCAGCTCCCACACCTACTTTAAATCTCAAGACAATACATTTCCTTAGTGAACTCCCACACTGAGTGGGTCATAGATAGGGCCCTACCAAATTCACAGTCCATTTTGGTCAATTTCATGGTCACAGGATTTAAAAAATAATAATTTTCATGATTTCAGATATTTAAATCTGAAATTTCACCTTGTTGTAACTGGAGGGACCCTGACCCTACAATAACCTTGCGACCCCCCCGCAACCCCTTTTTAGGTTGGGACCCCCAGTTTGAGAAATGCTGGTCTCCCCTGTGATGTCTGTGTAGTATAGGGTAAAAGTACACAAAAGACCAAATTTCATGGGGGAGACCAGATTTCATTGTCTGTGATGCATTTTTCACGGCCGTGAATTTGGTAAGGCCCTAGTCATAGAGTAGCTTGAGTTAAATCATGTGCTGTGTGTCATCTTCATTTAATAAATGTTGTTCCTAAATATTCAGCATGTCGTATCTTGTGAGTAGGATAAAGTGCATGCATAATCTATCAACTGCTATTCTTTCAGATTTTTAAAAATAACGTTTATTGTATATTATTGCCCTAGCTAAAAGATGGGGGAAATAAATTCCGGGCCCAGAATTAATTGCAGTATGTGTGGGGGACAGAACTACCATGAATTCATAGCGGCTTCAGTAAGACACACAAGCTGGTGATGAGTTTATTTTCCAGTAACAGACTTTTTTGTTTTCAGCAGTCCTATGCACCAGCTCCCCACCCCATGGCTCCTCCCAGCCCCAGCACAAACAGCAGCAACAACAGCAGCAACAACAGCAGTGGGGAACAGTTGAGTAAAACCAACCTGTACATTCGAGGCCTTCCACCCGGCACCACTGACCAGGACCTTATCAAGCTCTGCCAGCCGTAAGTGCCATTGAAATATTTCATGTCCTCCAGTTTGAAATGAATACACTTGACCATCGTATTTATAGGGACAAATTTCCAAGCCAGATTTTAAGCTTGTAGATATAGATTTTATATTTTCAGAACAAGAATTTAGATGCATGATGTACCTGATAGTGAAAGGTGAACATAAAGGATAACACTGACTCCTTTTAGCTCAAATGGCTGATGTCTGTGCTTGGAGATCTGAAAATCTAGGGTTCAAAATCTACTGATATCCAATTAATTGAGAGTCATGGCTTCATGAGACTGAATTTATTTTTCAGTGTTTTTTCTTTTTCTTTTCCTTTGATTTAATTAATTCACATAATCAGAAAACATCTACTATGAGAGATTTTACAGTCAAAGAATTATGATTCATGGCAGAACACACAACAAAACACATTTGTCATTTGTCACATCTTTTGATTGCTGTGTCTCATTGTCAAGTCTGAAGTTCGAGAAGTATGTTACCAGGTAAATATGGGCTTGTACCAAAATGTCCTCTTAAAACTGATGATGTAAAAATGTCACCCTCTTATTCAACAGATCTGCTCCCTGTGTATATTTGGAGTAATTTCTGCCAACCTTAGTGACAAATATAAGTTTTTACTGATTTTTATTTCTGTTAACACTGCAGAGGCCACATAGCTAAATTTTGTTCCTCTTGGTGCATCATTAACAGAATTGTTTGCTAAAATCAAATCACAGGGCAGTTACCTAAGCAAATGAGTTGATTATAATGGATAATACAGGTATAGCTGAGGGTATAATTTGATTTGCTGAATCTTTATTACTGGTGGTGATGCACAAGAAGAAAATAACCTATCTTGTCTTTCAGATCCCATATTGAGTTGTTAGGGCTGGAAATAAGAAAAATATATTTTTTGTTGTAGAATGAGAACATTGGTAGGGAAATAACAGAGACAGCTAGTATGGAATCAACAGAGACAGCTAGTATGGAATCCTACAATGCTGAATTTATAGTCCCTCCCCCCGAAAAAAAAGTTGAATGGCACCTTTAAGACTTTCCATTGCAAATCAGCATATCAGGTAGAGCTTGATAAATGGATTTACTAATGTAAGAATCAGTCTGAGCCTAGACTTAGAATTTGAACAGAAATTGATGCTGCTTTGAGATATATGGAAAATTAAATTAAAATATATGTAAATATTATCCAATGTGATGTGCATTTCTGCACTTCCTAGATTTGATCAGAAATACTGTGATAGACACTTTGTATGATGCTTGGCAGGTCTGAGAAAGAAAGCTCTTAAAACACATTTTTTTTCTTCTGCAGTAGCCAAGGGAATGTTGAAAATGCTTGCAACTGAGTAAATTTCTCATAGTACAACATTTCCATTTCCAACTTTACTCTAGTAGGATTCTTACCCTTTAAACTACACTCAACATTTTTTTTAATTGCATTTTAGTGTGTGGCTATAAAAATAGATTCTATTTTAGTCAAAATCATCGAAAAACCATGAGCTTTTGTGTTTGATAAGATGAGTGGCTGCTTTAGTTAATCCTCCTGACTTTTATAATTTCCATTTTATGTTTTTATCTAGTGTGCACTGCACGCTGAATAGAAAATAGTAGACTGGAGTGCCATTGATGCTCGTAGTGCAGACTCCATTATGAGTGATGTCAGATATTTTTGACAAATGTACCGACACTATCAAACCTTTTATCAATTTAAGGGTAACCTTGTCACAGTAATCTGTCAAACTGTTCAGATATAACAAAAGGAAAAGAAGTCATCATGAACTCCGCAGTAACCAAGTAAATAAGAAAAATGTTACTGGAACGTTTTGTTCTTTCTTGCATGGTTTTGATCCTGAAAATCTCTTGTAACTGCTGTTCAGCAAAGTTGCTTTAAACTTTATTTTGCTGTACAAAGCCCTTAAATTACAGTACATCTTTTGGGACTTTATAAACTGGTACAGCAACAAGTGTGATTGAACAAAATAAACCAGGAATATATGAATAGTAAAGGTGATCTTCCTTCATTTATGCACCATGTCTTGGATTTTCTCATAAATTGAGCAAGAAATCTCTGAAAATATGACTTTAGCATGCTTTGCAATTTTTATAACATAACCTTTTAAACCCATCTCAATCCACATTTATAATTCCATAATTTAGAAATTTGGTCATAACGAATCCCTGCAAATAATATTAATATACTAATATTGCCATTTATTCCTAAGAAGTACCCGATGTTTTATAGCATAATTGTATGACCCATTGTTGCATACATGTTCCTCTTAACTCGGTCAAAACATGATGTTTATTAAAATTAAGATAAACATAATTAACATTTAATATTTATAGATTGTAGAATGAAAAATGTATAAAGTACTGTTTTATACAAACAACATATAAAGTTCCTTCCCTAATCTAATCATACCTTATTTTTATACAAAATAATGTGTTTCACCCAGAAGAATCCCCAAATTCTCTTAAAACTATGCATAGAAATCACTTTGGTCATCACTAACATATGAGGCACATCAATAAACTATTGCAATCCCAGGTGAAAATATAGCTGATCAAAAAAACAGACAAATAAAAACAATACACAAAAACATATGAAGTTTTAGACATTTGGATTTTTTGTTTGTTGTTTTTAAAGCAGGTTTTTCACTTTTCAAAAATGTTCACAATTTTTTAACCAAATATTTTCAGGTTTTCCTTATTTCTCATTTCTCTCCATTTTTTCTTTATCCCTCCTTTTTATTTTCCCATTTCCTAGTTTGCCACTTAAAAAGGGGCTTAAAAAAGGATAAAAGGTGAGAGGAAAATGAAAAATATTAGTTGTTGGTTTTTGGCCATAAGAGTGGACAATTTTGAAAAATAATTACTGTTTTTAAAAAAATTGTTTTGCTTGAAAATTTTTCACCTGCTACAGGTGAAAATATGTGTTACACTAGGAACATGTATTCCTATTGTGAATTTTTAATATACAAATATTTTTTAAAACCGTGAAATCCTGTGAGCTTTAACAAGTTGTAGTCGAACATTTTATGCATTTTTGGTTATACGTTTAAATATAATAGCTCAAAATTTGCTTTCTCTTAGGATTACTATATAGTGTTATGAAGTTTGCATGCATTGTGAAGACAGTCCCTGTCTGCCGTGCTCTAGCCATCAGTTTTTCAGTGCTAAATCCATCCTTTAAATGCAATTTAAACTACATTTTACTCAGTCTTTGACTTTAAAACTGGTTTGGTCTAATACTCCAGATCAGTATATGGTTGGATTTTGTACTTTACTGCCTTGTACCTGAAATGTACCTTCAGAAATCTTACCATATCCATCTACTTTGTTTTCCTTGCTTGGATTAGCTATCTCTTTATCCTCCGGCAATGTTTGATTTCTGTGTGATCCAGCCTGAAATCAAAGGACTGAATTAAAAACAACAACAACAACAACAACAAAAATATTAAACCCAAAAACTGATAAGTCTGTGAGCCAGTCAGGCTGAGTTATGTGGAAGATGAGCCAGAATTTGGTACCTAAATGTTTTTCTAAGCACAGAAAGTTTCCTGTTTTGCTGTGATTGCCATCAGTATGGTTTTTCTTCTCAATGACTCTGAGCCGTATTTTCTGTGAGGCAAAGGATCTTCTTCCCATTCAAAGTGTCATGGATTTGCCTCAAGGTAGTGAGAGTCAAATTCGTAACTTATTTTATTCCCTCTACTTTTGTGATAGGAAAGACAAACAAGAGGGAAATAATTATATTAGAGTTGGACAAAAAATAAGGAAAACAGAGGTGAAAACTTTTGCTGTTTTCCCCCCGTGTTTTTTGGTCAACATTTTTTGTATTTTTAAAAATGGTTCCAACCAGTTCTAATTAAAATAAAGGCTAAAACAAGGTATAGGCTATCCGCAGTAAGATTCAAAATAAGAAAAAAAAAAAAAAAGAAGTCACCACCATAGTCTCCCATCTTCCAAACGAATTCATGATATAATGACAATGGACCAAATTCAGACATAGCGTAAATGGGTGTGCTTAGACTGTGGGTGAAAGCCAGTGGCAAAATTCTCATTAGCTTCAGTGGAGCCAGCATTTCACCCAGTGTCTGCATTTGACCAGTTAAGTAGCAGGTCTTTGCAAGATACAGTGGAACGTAGAGGTTCAGATACATTAAAGCGAGTTAGCATTGTATCCATATTACAGTAGTTAGCATTGTATCCATATTACAGTACAATCTGAATAGAGGCCTGCAATCTGCATCCCCCATTGTAATTAGCAATAATTGGCACTCTTGTATACTTTAGCATAGAGGCCATTGACTGAAGAGGTGAGAAAAGTGAGTTAACCTCAGAATGATGGAGCTTTCTCCCTGGATTACCTGGTGTTGGAACTATTCAGGGAGATGTAGATTGATTCCTGCTTGACTCTGGGTGTCCAGTGTTTCTCATTCACTACACTTCGGCTGTTCGGTCTGAGCAGAGGAAACTAAGGTCTGAGGAAGAGAAGTCTCTCCAGGGAAACCCTAGAAACAGCCAAATTTGGGGGGCAAGTGAAGGTTGTGATTTGTTTCCATTGTTGTTTGAAGTACCAATAGAGTCAAATCCCAGGTAAGATACGTTTGGACTAAATACAATGTTTGCAGATTCTGTTCAGGACAGTGAGGGAACACCACTGGCTTACACTTGTCTTCCTCAGAAGTGGTCCATTCAGAATACTGGTGAAGCACATTGATGGGATAGAGTAAGCAAGCTTGCATTGCTTGTGTCTCTCTCTCTTCTTGCAAGCTCTTTAGGGCAGGAACTGCACTTAAACATTAAAAAGAAAAAAAAAAAGAATTTGAACTTGATAGGTTTTTAAATTGAAGAGTGATCATGTGCTCAGTAACTAATTTTAGGGATGTCTATATTATTATTTAAACAAACAAAAAAGCAAACCAACCTAGTGACGTAGAAGTAGCTTTTTACCCTGTGATATGAGACCTCTGCGTGGTTGTTGTTGTTA